AGAAGAGAGATTGTAAGTGAATAAGAGGTTATGGTTGCAACTTACTAACGAGATGCTATAGAGTTGAGATTCATGACCTCTAAATTACAAGTGACCTAAGTATACGGTCTTATAACCATGCCCTATAAGATATGCTAAGTATATGTACTAACTAACTTCGATATAATTTTTGTCTTAATATAAATTGCGAATCCTAACTTGTCTTTTTATAGTATAATCGTAGAAAGTGAGACTTATAAAGGTGAATAGCATTAAGAAGTTCTCCAAACAATAAACTCTTATGATCTTAAAAGTGAGGGTAGCTTAGGTGCAAGTTTACTACGACAAGTCTTACCACTGAAAGGACCGACCAGAAGTGACGTTACAATTCCGAGATAGATCCATATCGGAAAGGCTTATGTCCTCTAAGAAGCGGATTTATTATTCTGCGGAGTGGCGGAGCGGCGTCCGGAGACAATAAAAAATTGCATAAGGTCACTGCATTGGATGAGGTACCACCAGCTCGGATACCCAGATATCGTGTTGCTAGGTATAACCGAGTGTTTAACAAGTCGGTTCCTCGAGTGCTAAGATCGTCTAATAAACTCACGAGAAAGGCTTATTCTTTGTCTGTTGGATTATTTCTGTACGTTACAAGGAATGGTTTTAGCGCTTACAACTCGTGGAAGTAGATATCATATCAGGTGGTAGAATCCTATCATATTAGTGTTTAATATATCAAATAATTAAGATTTATTACTGTTAATTTATATTTCTAAATTTAGCTAATTTTATTTGTGAATTAAGAAGTAATTTTATGGGCGATTTTATTAAATTAGACTAGCAGACTTGAGTGAGATTTTAACATTTAAATTATTAATATTTTCTTAGTATTTAGTTATGTTTTAGCAGTATTGAAGATCATATGAATTTCCTAAAAATAATAAAATAATAATATAAAGGATAATTATAGATTAATTATGTTACAATTGTGCATTTAATTTGTAGTATTTTTATGTGTTAACTAATTATGATGATACTAAATTAAAAATTAATTAACATTTATGAAAATATTATTAATATTATAGTATTTTATTAGGAATTGGTTCAGTTTAATTAAGATGAAAATTTTGTTTCAATTTAATTTAAAATTATAAATTTTGATTTTATATATATATATATTCTTTTGTTAATTGGACAATTGTATTTAACTATGCATTGATCAACTAAGAGGCTAAGATATGCTGCATGAGAGGCATTCAACTACTTATAATGTTTTTGTTGACATCAAAATATTAACAATAGTAGAGGTGTCAAAATGGTTCAACAGGCTGAGGTTTGGTCCAAATCAATTTGACTCGAGTTTAAACATGTTGAACTTAACTCGACCCGATTTTTCAAATGAATCAGGAATGATCAGGAATTTCAACTCGAACTTGACTAATTGGGTTTACCTAACCTGGCCTGTTAACCCTTAATACAAGAACTAGTTCGGGCGCAGTTTGCACACAGTCAAGTGGAAGTGAGTTACTGACGCCTGTCTGGGCACAGTTGCGAGCGGGAGGGGCTAGAGGCGATTGGCACTTGTGCGTTCACGAGCGCGGGAACCCTCCAGGTGATCACAAGTGGGGGTCGCTTGTGTCGTTGCATGAGCAGGAGTTCGCAAGGGCGTCACATCTTCAGAGTTCGGGTCAACCTAGGTTGGTTTTGGGTTTCTGGGTCAACTTGAACCCATTCCGGTTTTATAAACTGGTTGGAATCTTGAACCCGAATCCAACCCGTGTGGCAAATTCCATATTCTGGTCAATTTTTGACACCCCTAAAAAGTCATGAATAGTTAAAGTCATTTCTGTCCAATTTAACCCAACGTGGTGGGTAAAGTTGATCTTGTGAAGGTTATTGCATTTAATATCTTTGATCAACTATTCTATTTAAATCATTACATATGCATGCTGATCAATCGTCTAATCCTTCCTTTTTTTTTATTATTAATATCTTTGATCATCCTTCTTGTTATTGCTTTTAAAATGAAGGAAACATTAATAAAAGAATAAAAATATTAACGATATATTCTGATCAAAATTTTAATGTTCTTAAATATACTTTAAGATTAATGCATTGTATAAATAAATTATATTACCCTAAATTTTATGAATTTTTTTTTAATCTCTCTCTCTATATATCTTATCTTAGTGCATTGTCCTTGTTTTCGAGTGAATTACAAATGAGTCTCAGGATTGGATGAAAAAAATTAATAGTATTTTTTTGGACAGTTAGGCTAATTAAGGCAGACTCACACACATATCACATACATAAGATTCGAACTCAAGATCTCTTAGTTGATAATTTATGCTCCCAACCAATAGACTAAGATGAAATGTGTATTATTAATTTTTTTTCGTATCCATAAGTTGGGGCCCCTCATAAAAAAAAATTCTAACTTCTTCAATTCTTTAGGGGTTGAAAGAGAGACCCTATAATTACCTTAATTATGATCATTCTCTAAATTTCCCAAATCATATCTTCCTAAACTGGGGACCAATAACTACTAACATTCTCTTAGCCATATATGGTAGCTTCCCCTTATTCCCTCATTAGCATAATTCCATTTTCATGAAATGAATTTAATTTCATTAATTAAATTACCTATTCAAGCTTCAAAATTATTTGTACTTATAAGTATCATTTACAGCATAAGATTAATTGTTTTCCTTAACTCCTGATTCCTCCCCCTCTTCTCTTTTTTTCATTTAAAAAAGTGGACTCTAAAGATAAAAGAATTGGCTATTTTTCTTAAGCTTAATTAGAATGTTTGCAATGATGCCATTGTGTTGCAAAGTGCTCTATATCTTACTTACATTGTGAAAGGTTTGATAGAGCCTAAGGACCAAATATGAATGATTCTAAAGTTTTGCTTTACCAAATAACAGATATTGGAAGCATTTATTGGAGAATTTAAGTGCTGTTCTGTGCTCATGAGGCTGACCACATGCAAACTAGAACAAAGTCAACAATTTATGACTCCTTTAGAATTAAGTAATTTGTGAAATTTGTTTTTTTTTTTCATTAATTAAATTATTTTTTTGGTCTTTATATATTTCTTCATATATATAATTAGTAAAAAATAACAACACCGCCAAGTCTTTATCTTGGTGCATGAGGTTGGTTTTATGAACACTCTTTCTTCATTGTGCCATATTAAGAGTCGAATTCCCTTTTAAATCTAAAAAAATTATCACTTCTAGTACTTTCTAACATAATCTTTTTAGATTTATTTCTATCTTTCTTAACATTAGTCAGATCTGATATTCTCCTAATCTGGTTGTGGGAAGGCCGACATTTTATGTGACCAAACCATCTAAGACGGCTCTCTCTAATCTTATATGCTAGTTGAGCTACTTCGACATTTACATGTATGAACTTGTTTCGTATTTTGTTTCTAAGAGTAAACCCACTTATTCACTTGGGCACCAGAGCCCTACATGGGGTCCTGGTTGGGTACCCACACTCCGCTCTGGCAGGTTTTTTTCACCCACGCCCACCTATGGTAAATTGTGGAATGTCATACCCACCCACACATCCACTTTCCACGCTTCTTGAATGTAATTTGCCACGGATTAATGGCCTTGAGGTTTTTTGTTATTTTCTCTGGCTGCAAACTTTCAAGCCACATATAAAAATCTATCGTGGTCGCGACGTGGTTCAGTGTTGTGCACTGCATTGTAAGGATTACTGTAATATATTGCATGCATATGGTGATTAGTAATGTAAATCAGTATGTCATCTAATGTTGAGTACCTGCCCATACTCACCCATGAGGTCATGGGCGTACCCATACCCACCCACGCCCATTGGGTATGGGTGGGTACGTGGGTAGGTGTGGGTATGCGTACCCAATGAAGGGCTCTGCTGGATATCCTCATCTCTACAACACTGAACTTAATTTTATGCTTTTTTTTGCAACACCCCTTAATTTTATGTTAAGAAAATAAAAATTATAAATTTAAAAATTATTTTATTATATAAATCACAAAGGTTATATATGCAAAGTATGTGATAAATCAAAATATTGTTCACTACATATTCAACTCAATAATAAATAAATAAATATTATCAGGAAAATAAAATTACGTGGGTTGGCTGACACCCCTAATCATGAGGAGGGCGGCTGGCCCTCCCTCCGCCTCTGTTCAAAGCTATTAGGCCACTCCTTAATTTAAAAGTAGGCCTAGCTCCGTGGTGTGGACCCAACAAGCCTAAATAAAATTGGGCTAATCGGTCCAATTAAGGCCTAATTAAAAGTCTTAGAAGTTAGAGCTATCTTATATCTAATGGAGTGTTGACTTTAAGTAGTTGGATAAAATGGAAGATTTTACTACTAATTTGATCAACTAATTGATAAATGTAAGAAATCAATGTGAGAGAAATAGTGATATATTAAAAGATCATTCTAAATAATGGACATTCAAACTTTATTCTCAACAAACTAATAGTAAAAAAATAATTATTTGATGAGGCAAAAAAAAAAAAAATCAATTCAAGTCCAAAGGGACCAGAATCAAGCATGCGAGTATTTGAAAATTTCGTATCATTATTCGATTGATGAAGGATTTGTTTGGGACAAGTTTCTTACTACTTTTTAATGTTATTTTTTAGTACAAAATTTTTTGAATTAGAAATTTCATAATAAAAAGCGATTTTAAAAAGCAGTAAGAAGAAATCTAAATAATCTTTGATTCTTATGTACGTATAGTTACGATGAGTGTCTCAAAAGAAATGAATCTAGCAAGTATCATCGTTTAAACATGTACATAGAAAGTCCACTAATATTGGACAAATTATTCTGTGCGGAGGCCGGACACAGAACACCGTCCGGAGACTAATCAAAATGCACCACATCAGTGGTATCGAGCAGTACCGAGCCACGGTACCGAGCGAATGGGTGATGTGGTGCATTCTGATTGGTCTCCGGACAGTGCCACATATAATAATTAATCCTAATATTGATATCTACTAACTATTATTATTTCTTAAACACTTTTCACTATACTTATAGGAGGCCAGGTAGATAATTCAAAGTTTGAAATCTCTCCTCTATTTAGAGAAAAGGGAGAATTTTTAAATTATTTGTTTTCTTTCATAAAATTTTCACGTAAAAACTCGTTTATCTCTTGTAAGCTTTTTTTTTTATGTAGATTTTTTATGCAAAATCTTTCCTTATATGTAATTAAGTTAAAATGGAATTCAGCATTCCAAAAAGCTCTATTTGCAGTTTAATTAAACTCTATCTGCAGGGTTGATTGCCCTTCATACCATTCAGTTCGTCTAGATCATACATATATTATGAGGCTTGTATTATTTTTAGGGGCTGTCTTAAGAATAATGAGCTCAAAACATGAAAAGCTTCGTGTATTTTGGTCATGTGTTAATCTAATTTCATTTGGAATAGCTTTTTACTATTTTGATTTCATACTATAGTTATAATTTTTATTTGACTGCTGTTTTTTCATTGTTTTTAAGAAATTTTTATACTAGGAAGCTGAATTCTACAATATTTTTCAAAAAAATTATTTTCTTCACAGCAGTTTTACAACCACTTTCATAAAAACTGCAACCGTCTCAAACGGATCTTTTGTTTAGATTTGTGATGATCATTGATCAAATTGGTCACTTGACTCTTTACTGATAAGTAAAAAGATTCGTGACTATTTAAAAGTCTCATTTTAATCTCTTGACTTTTTAAATAGGGACCTAATTAATCCAACAAAATGATTAATTTGATACCTATTTGAAGGGTCAATAGTACATAGTTTGGAATTATTTTAATACTTCAAAAAAATTAGTGGACCAATTTGACCCTTTTCTCTCTTGATGACGGAGGAACTCGGATTAATTTCTAAATGTCTAAATGGATTATTGGTACAAAAAGAATATTGGTGACTACTAGAAGAAGTTTTCCCATCGAATGATTTGCTAAAGAACATGGAATGTAAGGGTTTGGCATTCTTGTGAAAGGGCAAAACTAATTACTAAGATGACACAAAATCATTATTATGAGGTAGATGAAGTGGTTCAAAGGATGTAATCCTTCAATTAGGACAATGGGCAAAGGAAGATGTTAGAGAGTGATTTTTTTTTTCTTAAATGAAAATTGTTAAGAATTTGCTACCTAATCATTTCTTTTACTGAAAACGATCATAATTTATGTGATCATAATTTGAGGCAGAGGATAAGTAGTATAAATTTAGACACACAATAGAGAGAGAGAGAGAGAGAGAGAGAGAGAGAGAGTCAATAGGATATGAAACATTTGTATAACTACTCTTTCTATCTATCCTCACAAATACAGCTGATTTTTAATGATTTTTAAACCGCTGCAACTAAATTAGTAGGTATTTAAATCATTGTATTAGGTCCTAAAATGTACTGTTAAAGCTTGATTTATTTAGTAGTGTATATATCTTCCTCCTACCTTTTCTCTTTCTTCCTCAATGCAATGTGTTTTGAAATAAGAATTAAAATAGGGAAAATAGAGTAATGTATTATTCCCCATATAAAATATTAATTTTTTTTGTGATTTTTCTTTTGTATTATTTTATTTACCATTAAACCAAAGTTTTAATCTATTTTTTATATTAATATATTAATTACAAGCTAAATATGTTTTTATACTAAAAATAATCAGAATATTATGATATAAATTATATAAAAATAAATTAAACATTTATTAAAATAATTTTAATGCTAAAATGACATATGAAATTTTTATATTATTTTAATTTAAAAATAAATCTAATAATTTTCAAATTCATCAAATATAATTTATATTAAAATATTTTAGCTCAAATTTTTTCCATTGATCGATCAACCCATCAAAGAAGTTTTTTTAAAGCGGCAATTAATTAAAATAGGAAAGCATTATTTTCGTGTTAACTTAATCATAATCTTCCCCCCACCATAATCTCTTCTGATTTCATTTATCTCATACTAAATTAAGGCCACCGCCACCTTTCTCTTTCTATCTCTTAATGAAATTATTCTCATTACTGTCGCTTCTATATATAACTGATCAGAGAGACACAATGAAAACAAATCAGAAGAGAGAGAATAAGCGATCAGAGAGTCCCAAAGGGCATAATCTCTCTCTCTCTCTCTCTAAGTTCTTTCCTTCTTCTTCTTCTTCCTTTTAAACAAGCAAAGAATTCACATCGGTATTCGGTAACATAAAACGCCATACCAGAAACCTCAAAGCAGGAAACGAACACTTTGTCCCTCAAGAAAATCGCTCTCTCTCATTCCCAATCTCTTTCGATCAGTAGAGTAAAGAAAGAAACAGAGAGAGAGAGAGAGAGCATGGGATATTTCTGTTCTTCATGGTTCCAAACCCTTTTTCTCATCCCCCTCCTCCTCCTGATTCCCACTGCACTCCTCCTTACCCTACCCCCAATCTCTCCATCACCGGTAACTCTCTCCTCCGCAGCCTTCCGCCTCCTCCCACTCCGCCGCTCGCCGGAATCCACAGCACTCGCCTCCTCCGCCACCACCCCTGTACGATACAATTCAAACCGATCACACTAATCTTAATGCTCATAAATTCGTCATTTAATAAACATCGATCCCAATGCAGATGAAACGGCTGGCGAATCCCGGTCCTGAGAACGAGCTCGAGGCGGAACTCTCCCGCGCAAGGGCGTCTATCCGCAGGGCCACCGCCGGCCGGAGAAATTTCTCCGGCGTGTTTAGCCAACCGAGTGTGTACCGCAACCCCGCCGCCTTCTACCAGTGAGTGTAAAAAAATAATTAATTTCTTGATTTCTTTCTCTCTCTAGATTTTCTTTTGGATTCTTTTTTTTCTTGCCTTTTCACGCTTGGCGACGCTTGCTCGTTACGGCGAAGTGGTCTGCCACCTCGCCGCATGATTTCCAACTCTTGTGCTCGGCCTGCCGCGCACTCGAGAGCGTGCTTGTCGTTTTTTTATTGAGCCGCGGTGTACCGGACCGCTTCCGGTAGCGAGCCTCAAAAGGAATACAAAAGTAATTTATAGTGTATATTTATTACCTAAAATATAAAAAAAAATTATATAAAAAGATATTTGAGTTACAATATTATGAAACAATTGTTTTGAGAGGAATTTGTTTGATTTTTTTTTGTCGGTCGAATCCAATATTGGTATGTCATTCCGACTGCATTAATTTAGGCTTAGTTTGGGAGAAATTGTTTTAGGTGTTGGTCGGACTCAAAATAATGTCCGGAGGCGAATCAGAATATGCCACATCAGCGGTACCGAGCTACGGTGCGGCGCGGTACCGAGCAGTATTGAGCCATGCTATTGAGCGAAGGGGTGAAGTGGAGCATTCTGATTGATATCTGGACTGCATTCGACATCCGCAAAGAATAATTAATCTTAATTTGGGGTGTCTTTCTTTTTTGTTTTTTAAAGCATATTTTTAATACAAAAGAGATTCTTTAAGAAGTAATAAGAAAGCTGTCTAAAACGAAACCCCAATTTCTTTAGTTATAATTTTGATTGAGTTGATGCATTCCATATGACATATGCTAGGAAAAATAGAGACGGATCTAAAAAGATTTTATTAGAAAATATTAAAATTGATTTTTATTATTATATTTAGGCTTAATCCTACTAAAAAAAATTATTTGCTCCATAGTTTTATAAAATTTAATCAAATTCTTTCTTACATATTTGAAAAAATTAATCTAAAAATATTTTGATATAATTTATTTTTTTTTTTCTTATTCGGCGTCTAGGAGCTATCTGGAGATGGAGAAGCGGTTCAGAGTGTACGTGTACTCAGAAGGGGAGGCGCCGCTGGTACACGCTGGGCCGTGCAAGAACATCTACACGACAGAGGGCCGCTTCATATCTGAGCTAGAGATGATGCGTCCGGGAGAATATTCCGGCGGCGGCGGCGCGTCGTCGAGGATGCTGAGAACGGAGGATCCCCGGCGAGCCCACGCCTTCTTCCTTCCCTTCAGCGTGGCTCAGCTCGTGAGGTACGTTTACCGCCCTAACACTTACGACCATGTCCCCATCCGCCGCTTCGTCTCCGACTATGTCAACGTGGTCGCATCTAAGCACCCTTATTGGAACCGCACTGCCGCCGCCGACCACTTCATGCTGTCCTGCCATGACTGGGTACGCACCAAGTTGGATCTTTCTAGAATGATTTATCTTAATTTATGTCATACGATTTTTAGATTAATGGCGTGCATGGCTTGTTTATAAACATAGGACATATGAATGATTTAATTGGTATATATTACAAAATTTATTTAATATGGAGTTTTGGTGATACTATCTAGGGGTTTTAAAATGAGTTTTTAGTAGGTTTGGGTCAAATTTGAAACTAATCTTCATTCAAATGATCCAATCTGAACCCGATCAGATTTGACAAATAGGGCAAAAATTCAGATCTAAACCCGACCCATTGGGTTACTAGGTTGAATCAACCTGACCCGCACTAACCAAACAAGTAAGCTTTAAGAACGGGCAGCAATATATGTGGGACAACGCAATTGAGGGTGGGAGCAGAACCGTGCGATGCAGGACTGCATGAACACAGTGCAAGGCTTGGAGCTTGTGTGTAGGTACAAGATTGTGAGCCCAATCACAAGGTTGTAGTGTGGGACTACGGGGCGAGAAAGGCAAGTGGGATGCGGTCTATTTTTGGGTTAGCGGATTGACTCGAACATAATCTGATTTTCAAACATGTTAGGAATTAGAACCCTAACATGACCCATTTGTTAAATGGGTCAATCTAAATCTAAATTTTTTGGATCGGATTTTCGTATTGTGTCATTAATTGACACCACTAATAGAATCTTATCTCCTAATATTTTTTTATTAAATTTATAGATTTGAAATGTTATATCTACACAGTGGAGAAGAATTTTGAGGCATTAGTCAAGAAAAGTCTTAGTTCGTCCATTCAAACAGATATTTGATACTGTTATTAAGAAGTAAGATGTTGCCTATCAACTCAATCGCAATCAAAACATTGAAGGATACATCATCAGTATAAGGAATTGTCATTCTCTGCCTTTTTGGAAGTGATGGGGGCAAAGTTTAATGATGAGAGCTTTGGCACGCAACCCTTCGATGGAGTAGAACTAGAAAATTAAGTTTGCGGTAAAGTAGTTAAGTATGAAGAGTTTATGAAAAATTATAGTATGTTAAAATATATATAATTCTGGAAAAAGTGATTTTTGGTAGATTTTTCATGAAAAAATTTTTGCCGATAAAAGCAGTGTAAAGAAAAAAATTCCTACAAAAAATAGCCTGAAAAAAAAAGCAAAAAAAAAAAAAAATTGTTTGCCCGCGCCCATCCGCAGCGGCCCACCTTGCCCACGGTGGCTTGCTACGCCCCCACCTGCTTGTGGCGCGGCCAAGCTGCCCGCGCCCGCCAGCCCTGTCCAAGGCGGCCCGCTATGCGCCCCCTGCCCGCGGTGGCATGAGCTTCCCTCGCCCGCCAGCCTTGCCTGTTCACAGGCCCCACTGCCAACGTCCGCTCGTGAGCCCCACTGCACGTGCTGCCAACATGATGCCTATGAGATTCGAACTCTACGCATTGGATGGAGAAATTATTAGGTACGATCACGTGACAGAGATATACATCCGGATTTCTCTCTATTACAATAAAAGCGCAGTCAAAGCACAACTGCTATAATACTGTGAATTGACTGCTCTTTATTATAGATAGAGAGAAATCCGAATATATTTTTATGTATGACCTAATAATTTGCCCAGTGGAAGGTTTTCAAACCCGCTCAACTGCGAAGTAAAAATTGTTTTAATTGTTACTTCAGCACAGGACTCTTTATGTTGTCCGTACTTTATATTCGATAATTATACATAAATTAATTAAGATATTTGCATTTATGTAAGAATATTTTAGCACTTATCTAAAATTATTATTTATTTCTTACTATAATTATTTATTATATCTGATCAAATACCCTAAATATTTTTCTTTAAACCCCTCAAAGCTGATTTGCAGCCTACCCGTAAATTTTGTTCTTTCTTTCACAACTGCGCAGGGCCCCCACGCTTCACGTGCGAACCCATTACTGTACAAAAACGCCATTCGAGCGCTCTGCAACGCCAACACGTCGGAGGGATTCCGGCCGCGGAAGGACGTGAGCATACCGGAGATAAACCTCGTCTCCGGTGACATGCCCCCGGAATTTCTCTCTCCGTCCCCGCCGGAATCCTCTCCACGCCGACTTCTCGCCTTCTTCGCCGGAGGGGTCCACGGCCCCGTCAGACCGATCCTCCTCAGCCACTGGAAGGGCCGTGACCCGGATCTCGAGGTTCACGAGTACCTTCCCCCCGGCGCCGATGCCTACTACTCCTATATGCGGCGATCTCGCTTCTGCCTCTGCCCCAGCGGATATGAGGTCAGCATTTAAATTTTGGGAAATTTTTATGTTATTATATCTTATTAATTGGTTAGATATTATCAAAATATATTCATAAGAACAAATGTTAACTATTACTATAAACACCTACAACAACAATAACATCAAGCCTTTGTCCCCGGCTATATTGAATTCTTTTTCGCTATTTTGTTCGGTTAAAAAGTTAAATTCTCATTTAAATCTAATAAAGAAAGGTCATTTCTAATATTTTCTAACCAAGTCTTTTTAGGTCTACCTCTACCTTTCTTAAATAAGTTAAGTCTAATACCTCAACTTTTATAACTGGGTCATCAGAAGGCCTCCATTTAACGTGACCAAATCATCTAAGGCAGCTCTCTCTAATTTTATCTTTTACTTGAACTACTCCTAACTTTTCATGTATAAGCTCAGTTTGTATCTTATCTCTAAAGGTCAAGTCACTCATCCACTTAAGCATCCTCATCTCTGCAACACTTAACTTAGTATTATGCTTCTAATATAAAAAACTAATTCTAATAATTTTTTAATCATTTGATACTAAACATTTTGGTTAATTTAGCTCATCTGATAAAAAAAAATATTAGATATATACAAATAATTAATCAGAATTATGTATGTCTTCCTCATTGATTGCTCATATATACTATCTTTACAATGCATTTGTAATTAACTTCAATTAATTGTGGTTAAAAATCCTTGAAATATTTAGGTAGCGAGCCCTCGGGTGGTAGAGGCCATCTACGCTGGTTGTATACCTGTGATCATCTCAAATGGGTATGTATTGCCATTCAGTGATGTGTTGAAGTGGAAGGAATTTTCTGTGATGGTGGCGGTGGAAGATATACCGCGATTGAAAGAGGTGTTAATGGCGGTGGGGGAGGAGGAGGTGATGCGGTTGATGGCCGGAGTTAGGGCGGTGCGCCACCATTTTGTACTAAACCACCCGCCTAAGCGATTCGATGCATTTCACATGATATTGCACTCCGTGTGGTTGCGTCGCCTCAATATAAAGGTTGCTTAAGTTTGGGATTTTTTAGATGGTTTTTTCTTTTGTTTCATAGGAATAAAACAAGAAGTTACACAAGAAATAAAAAAGATTTCGAACAAGGTTTGAAGCGGGGTTTTTTTTGTTTCGGTGTTGTTGGCTGCTTTTGATCAAATGAAGCCAACTTTCTATCAACATAAACATATCTGTTGAGAATAGTTCTTTTTTTTTTTGGTAAGAGAGAGAGAGAGAGTGAAGAATTTGGATTAATTTTGTATGTTGATTTTGGCTATGAATTGTATATTTCGTGTTTAGTATACATTGAGAAGTAGTCTTGTAATTTCTATTGGTTTATTGAAAAATATTTTACTACAATTGTCAAAGTCTTGCCTGATTCATATTTATTCCATTTTAGTTGTGCTTTTTTAATGTCATCTCCAATAAAAAAACTCATTTTACACTCCAAAATATAGTAAAATTTCAAAATGCAATCATTCTATTCAATAGAAATGCATTTCTTCTTCTTTTGTGCCCTTCCTACGAAGGTAACCATCTTTGGTGCGCTTTTCTCTTTCACGTGCTTCTTTGACAAATCTCGCAGCAAATTTTTTTGGCATAGGTGAACAGTCCGACGACAATATTAACGTCACACTGTTCACCTACTAAAATGTGGCGTGTTGAAATTCGAATGGAGCAAATGACGGACAGGTGTCATGGAGTTCAGTTGGAGATGATCTTATTAAACAAAACCGCTATTTAATTAGCATTTCATACATAACAAGAAGACGAGCTTCAGGTAAATGATCGACATTACCAACATTCCATGTGGTATTAACTCCGAAAAAGGCGGTTCTGCGTCTTCAATATAATTCTTATAACGTACGTGTGACTGCTCAACAAAAAAAAATATAGTAAAATTACATACAAAAATAAGGCATGCACGTAAAGGAGTGACAAAAATCGTTATATAAACGAGAGTGGCAACAAAAAAACACAATAAAAAATAGTACAAGCTGCAGACCAAAAGACACCATTCAACCTTTTATTCTCACTTCACCAAAAAACAAATATGACAAACCACTTCAAAGGTTAGGCATGCACGCCAAGTTCGAGCCTCAATGTGAGGCTGATGGCATTGGATCCGTCGCCGATGAACTGAATGGGCCCTGCAAAATTACACCAGAGTGCAGATTTAAGAAGTTTAGTCAGGATATTTGGACATTTTTCCCCCCAAAAGAAGCTATGATTTGGAAAAAATGAGAGTACAGAAAGTACCAGGGCTGATATATCTGTTCTTAATGGCCCACTCATCCCTCCTAGATGCAAATTCTAGGAATGGTGCGCCTAAAAATAAAAACAGCCATGGTGAAACCATCGAATGTGCCGAAGGAATTATAAGAAAAAATGCAGAGACTGGAATTTTATCTAACCATCAAGTTCCACCATTGCTTTCTTGATTACAGGCTTGAACTTACCTGTAAGATAAAGGAGCATCATCATCGTCATAATTAGACTTACCATATTATTTGTATTTGGATAATAGGAGTATGTCGAGTATACTAAAAGATTTAAGAAACGTCTTTGCGGATGTTTATTACACCAATCAAAAAACTCACCAATCTCATAGAAATCTCATAGAAATTATTCTGTGCGGAGACCGGACGCAGAATGCCATCCGGAGACCAACCAGAATGCGCCATGTCAACGGTATGACATGGCGCATTCTGGTTGGTCTCCGAACGACGTTCGACGACATCCGCACAGAATAATTAATTGCATAAGTGTGAATTCATAAACAAAAACAACCGTGAACAAGATACTGAACATTAAGCTTAAATAAGTACATGATGATTACCGTAAGACCAATTAAACTTTATCAATTGCATGCACAAATTAGACAAGCCAACCTATTGCATTAAATAAGACTCAATATCCTGAAATAATTAAACATTGATAAGAAGAGACCAAGTTTGCACTTTCACGTTTCCTTTATATAGTTCCCAATCAACAAAAAGTTGACAGTTGCTGTAATAAGTATATCAAACATGAAATTTAAGCCATGTTCAAAAGCATCATAGAGTGCAACTTTCCTCATCATAAACTACAAATACATGTATCTAGTCAAGGCAAATGAGCATCCATTAATCCTTCTAACATGTTACCCAGCTGAAATTCTTATGATATGCTCAATCTGAAAGGTTAATAGTTAAATGCAGTCCAAAAATTAATGTTGAGCATGTATTTAATATAGAATTTGGTGTGAATTTCTTTCTTTCTTCAACATATAATATGTTTTAAATATAAAAATAAAAATAAAAATCCATCATCACTATCATCTATAGCCCTATCCCAACCACTTGGGGCTGGTATTATGAGTCCATATATTTTATGTCCCTGCTGAGTGTTTATGTGAAATAGCAAATCTATTCTTCACAAACCATTTTAAACAACTTTCATTCATGTTAACCTTAAGGCTCTATTAAGGGCAAATTTACCACTGCTTTGCTTTCCAGACCATTGTCGCACTATTATTTAGCTTCTGCGTTCTAATTGCCTTTCAAAAAATTCAAGGCTGAAAAGCTAATTTTACAACCAGATTCACTAGACTATAGTAGATGTAAGAAAGCTACTAATTGATTTTTCCAAAAAAAGAAAATATATATGACACTACCCTAACAGCTTTCAAAAAGTTACTTATCTCACAATTTTACAATCACATTTATAAAAAGTTGCAACCTCTCCAAACAAACTCTATCAAATTTTCTTCCTAATCTTTTAGCAAAGGTGGTGGTGGCGATGGATTGCGTCAGCCGATGGAGGAAGGGGGCTTTAACAGAGGAAGTAGGCGGCAGTAGACAGCCGGGGCAGTGGTCGATGGCCAGCAGTGGCTGACAGGAGGTGGCAATGGTGGTGCGTTAGCGATGTATTTAGAAATCTCAAAAATTTGAGGAATTCCAAATTCACCCAAAATGCACTAGCTAGTGTATTTGAAATACACTCCTTTTACAACCTTCATTCATTTTAAACCAAACACTAATATTTTCAAAACCCTTGCATTTGAAAAACTTTACACCCTAAATGCAGCGAACCAAACAACACCTAAAGCATCTAAATTTTATGGTAGTTCATTCATGTCATCCTAAAATTGATTTTTTTAATTATTTTCTAATCCAACTTGAGGAGTAGAAGCACGAATCACATTCATAATTTCCCCATTGATAATTAACTTAGGAATCATAATATCACAAACTATGATGAGGTGCGCCTCAAGGCAGGCGCATTAAATGCTTTTTTAAATCATGCTTTGATGTAACCCAAACATAGAAGTGTATATTCAAATTGTCATCTTAAGTAAATATAACAAGAATAATGATTGGCGTGGAGTCAATCCATTTAAACCGCCTTATGGTTGGCCGTGCTGCCTTAATGGATTTTTGAATGTTTTTGCTAATTTAATTTTTTAAAAACTTATATTTTAACCCCTATCTTTAAGGGTTAATTTGTATATTTAGACTTAATAAGGCATGGTAGCATTATTGATTATTTTGCTTTATTCAATTTGGAGTGTCCTTCATTTCTAGCATGGAAGGCTTAATGGCCTAATGGTTGAATTCCTTAGTGAGGAATTTAATTATTATCTCCTCTCTCTGATCGTAGATAACACTACATAGTGCTAGTGCTACTAGGAAATCTCGTTCCTCTTTGAGCAAATCAAGTTCAACCCACTAAAAAGCTAAGTTTGACTTGCTTGATATGGAAGCGAATAAAGCTTGAAAAGATATTTTGAGCTTGCAGTTTAAGCGAGCCAAACACAAATAAACCTTTACTCCATACACAAACTTTATGTTTTTACTATTTTTCATAATTTTCAATTCAAATGAGGAGAACATATCTATTTCCGCTATAGTTGCTTAAACCTTGCACCTCTCTACAATCGTAAAACCTAAGCCCTCTCTCGCTCCTTCCTGCACAAATATATACACATACATAGCTCTTTTCTGCCACCCCTTAACCCCTTAAACTCCAACACAATCTAGCCCTAATTAGCCTACATCCTCTTCAAACCCTTCCACCATCCTTTCCAATACTGTCATAAAACAAAGTGGCAAACACATTTATTTAAAAAAAAAAAAAACCACTAACCCGAGCACTAAGTTAATGAATTCAAATGAACTCCATTAGCCCAACTGACATCCCTAATGACCCCTTATTAGAGGTGTATCATTGAGGCTCATCCTGCAGATTTTCTCTAGATAAAAGTACCAAAAATATTTTATAAAGATTCCATACTAATGCAATTGGCTTTGAATACTTGAGAACAACATTTTTTTTTTTTTTGGGGCGGGGGAGGGCAAGGTCGGATGCCTCTCAAAGTCAGGTTTGAATGTCACACTTTAGATACGCCCAAGCTGCTATAAGCAATGTCCAGATCTAGTTTGGTGTTACATTTCCCTTAGCACCAAGGACTCAAAACATCAAAAACACATCAATAGGGAAAATAAAACCAGTGATAAAGGAAATGAAATAAAATACTTATTTACCACAATGAATCAATTATATATAAAATCACAAAATGCTTAGCATAAAGTACCATGTCTCCTCTCGACATCCATTAATGAAGTCAATGCAGTTCCTCCAACAGACCATTCCTCCACAGGGGCAGCTAAATTGCCAACCTTCATAGATACAGAGAAGGCCAGAAAAATTAATGCGATGTTTAAATAAGTGAAAAGTTCTAACAAAGTTGACATTTAAAAGAAAGTTTTGGATTATTAGCTGAAAATGTACTCCTATGATATACAATTTTGACGTGTTATACTAAAAATTATTAAATCAATATTATTAAAAGATAAAATGAAATTTAAGTGGGATATATTTAAGACAGTTGAATCTAATATAAACAATGATAGAGCTAGAGATCCAAAATATAACTAATAAGAGTTAAAAATGAGTAGTTTAAATAGGAAAGTTTCTCGTAAGTATTACACAATAAAAAAATATCAGTTAAAACAAAATACTATAAAATTATAATTAAATAAGCTATGGTGTACAGGCACAAAAGGTTGGGAGTTTAAAAATTATTGATATTCAAGTTAAACATAAAAAATAACAATATTAAAGTTGACGCATGGCATAATTATGAAAGATTCATCAAGAAACAACAACATCAAGCCTTTATCCCACTACGTGGGGTCGGCTACATGAATCCTTTTTCTCCATTGTGTCCTATTAAAAGTGAAATTCTCGTTTAAATCTAATAAAGAAAGGTCAATCCTAATATTTTCTAACCAAGTCTTGTTAGGTCTACCCCTACCTTTCTTAACATAAGTCAAATCTAATACCTCTACTCTCCTAACCGGGTCATCGGAAGGCCGCCGTTTTATGTGACCAAACCATCTAAGGCGACTCTCTCTAATCTTATCTTCTACTGGAGCTACTCCAACCTTTTCACGTATATGCTCATTTCGTATCCTATCTCTAAGGGTAAAGCCACTCAACCTCCACCGAGCATCTCTCTCCTGCCACACTTACTTATATTATGCTTCTCTTTGAATGGCCTTTAATGAATCAGTTCGGTTGGTGGTGTTGGTGGACGAATGGCCTTTGCTATGAATAGTATTTGTGATAGA